TAGCCCTTATCCATGTGATTTCTGTAATTTCTACAACCTAAAAATTTTCTCTCATAGTTGACATTGTTCACATCATCAACAATATGAAGAACACTATCATCTTGGCAAAAACATTTCATTCTCTTGTTTCTGCGAAGCACAAATCCAGATGTACCAAAGCTTTGGTTATTTGACATTTAACCATTGCTTGTATTCTTTGACATTGAAGCCCTGATGGAAGATGGAGAATAAAAGGGAACATAATGGAAGATGGAAGAATAGGAAGACATGAACTAATTGCATATGGATGAATAGTGAAAAAAATAAAGAAGATGAAGAATAGGAAACCACAAACCCTAGATCGTTTATAACACAACAGTTGAGTGTTCACTGTACTAGTTACATACCTGACATGCCACCTCAATCATAGTTAATGTTTTTTTCACCAGAACTAACGGAAGGGACCAAATAATTTAAAGGCAAAGAAGTTAAGGGACCATTGTGTAACATTTTTTAGTTCGAGAACCAAAGCGAAACTTCACTTAAAGTTAAGGGACCTATGGACTAATTATGCCTAAAAACTAAAAAAAATAAAAAAAAACTATTGTAAGAGTTTGCCTACAAAATCAAAAAAAAAAAAGACGAGATGAGACAGACATGTTAAAAGGTGCTAGCCTAAAATTTGTCGCATCCCACAAAAATATGTGGACAAAATACACATGCTCGACAAGTCAGACCTGCTTTATCATACTTAAAAACTCTAAAGACTCCCAAGACCGATTTACTTCCATCAAAGGAAATTATGGACATTCAAAGAAAAATGTGTCTTGAGCTCTAAAGCATGTGATCACAAAGGCTCTAAAGGTGTCATAAGGGACACCTCTAGTTATTGAGTTTAACGCTATTTCAATTTCCTCACCTAAAATGGTAGGCAAAAGAAAAATGCATATGTAATACTGTCTAAAGTGGTAGGCAAAAGAAAAGTGCCTATCGTTTACCGTAAAAATTGGTAAACAACCACTGGTCTTTAAAAAAATTGGTTTACTTGTAGAATCAACCAATGAATCCTAAGGACATAGCTATTGTCTCAATATATTTCTGAAAAATTGATGAACACTTCGACAATATTCATTTGTATAAAAGTTTTTTTTATTGTTTTGGAAAAGGATAAACTTTGTGAAAGTTTGATAAAGATAATGTAATGAAGAAAAGAACTTCAAAGTAAAAGTGAAGTAAAGAAAAATTGATAAATATAAGTAAATTTCTATTGAAATGAAATAAAATGCGGTGTTTCGCACGTACATTCTCAATAGTAACTCTTTTCTCACTTGACTTGGATACTTTGAGTAAATTTTGAGTATTGTACAACAAATGAACACGCATAAATCCTAATACTAAGACTCCTATTTATAATCAGTCGAAATAACTGCCTTCAACAAACATTTCTCTAAAAATTGACACGTTTCACCCTACATGCTTTCATTTTGCCATAGTTCGCCACGCGTCTCTCCTGAGAAACGGATAAGGACAAAAGACAGTTATTTATTCATATCTTGAAATTCAAATCTTCTGACAAAAAAAGGCTTAAAACACCCTCTGTCGAGGTGAATTTCTTGAATGAGAAAATATTTCTAAGTGTTGTCCAGACATCCCTTTCATGGAGACTACTTTGATTAGGCTTCTCACAAGCTCCTGTCGAAGTCAGCAAAAACTCAAAAAACTTGATTTTCACTTAATACCTTTACACAAAAGTCTGGCGTCAAAGTTTTCCGCCAACACCTATGCAATACAACGGTATGGTCATAGCAAATACTGCTTTTACAAGGACTTCTAAATCAGAAAAAGAAAAAGATTTTGCATTCCATGATTTATTTCCCCTAAATTCTAATATTTAAGTGACCAATTATCTCACATTTATTGCAAAATATTAATATTATGAAGAAAAAAAAGCAAAATTCCATAAAGGAGGCTAAGTTATGTAAGTGAGATTCAACCACCTAAAATCTGACAATTGGAACTTTAAGATCACGTTCCATAATTTTAGGTGACGCTAATTATGATTGACCACGCGAAAGCTAAACCTAAGCAAGAAAGCACACACGAAAAATGACAATATATAAATAATAATATTGATCGATAATTAAGTGTCACATATTCATCACAGAGGAAGAAATCTCGCATTTCACAAAAATAAACGAATGAAACAACATTTTTACATGCCACGATAAAAGATAGTTTTATAAAGATAGCCACAAAAAATCTAAGTTATTTTAAACATTTCATCTTCTTTTTTTATACATTGTGTTGTGCTTAGCCAACATTTGCACATACTTATAAGCGCGGGTTGTGATAACTTTATTGGGTCCGGAAAGAAGAAATTGAAAGGTAAAGAAGGTGGGTCTCCACCAAGTTGAACATAGGCCTAGTCCTCATTTGACTCGTAATTTTATGATCATTTAGGAAGTCAACATAAAAATTGAAGTATTCGTCCACATGACTTTTTACGTCAAAATTCTCATTGCAAATCGAAGCGGGTAAAGAGAATCAACAATCTTAATTTAAAAATGATAAGGAGATATTGGTATAAAAAATTGTGTGGTGGACTGTCAGAGACGACCATGTTAACTTGTTCTACTTTAGAATAGGGCTTCATTATTACGCCTGTCTCATCGCCCAAACCTGACAGATCTATTCCCTTGTGACTGGAATCCACTTTTTCCTGGGATATGTAAAGAGTCTTGTAGTTCTCAACTCCTAAGCATTTTGATGTGTTATACACCATAAATGATCCTGATTTTCCTAGTAAAGAATAGGGAAATAAGGGTCAATATCACTACTAAAATTAGAGTTACTTTCGTAACTTCTAAACATTCCTATTTTGAAAAGTTTGTAATTAAATGTTCTCGTTGGGCCACCTATCATTTTGCATCCAGTACCTCCACATCACTATATGTTCCTTATCAATAGACGACTCAATAACATTACGACTCTAGTCTAAATCCCTAATAATTGTCATCACTTGAAAAAGAAAATGGTGAAGGGAAAAGGAAAATTGTAATACCTGTGCTTAAATGTAAAATGATTGAAGATGGAGTTGATTTTGTAAAAAAATCTAAGAAGAAGTTTGTACTTAGAAAATATAAAAAATATGGAGATAATGTGAAGTTGAAAAGGGTTGGAATTTCATTATTATAAAGCCAATTACCTAGGTTTCATAAGATATCATTACACTAACATAGATATAGATACGCGCCAACATTAAAGAGTGGAAGCATCTACGACTCGATATTTACGCATGCATATAATTAACGACGCACAACAACTGCATCTTCCCAAGAAAAAGGCTAGAATATCTAAGTATTAAAGGTTGTACGTGCCTCCCCAAACTACTCTTGAGGGACTGACCCCAAAAAGAGTTTGAGGGACTCCTCCCAAGCAATACTTGAGGGATTCGTCTCAAGTAGTGCTTCAGGGACTCATTATCATAAGTTTCAGATAAATCATCGTGCATCTAAATTGATCACTTCACCCTTCTAGACTTCGTGCTTGAGTGACTGTGAATTGTGATACCTTTATTAGTCCTAGAAAGAAGCAACCCAAAGACATGGAAAGAACGAGCGAGCATTTCCTAAGATCGGCCGACTATGACTTGGATCACTCGACTCGGACTTGTGATTACCACTTGATCCATCTCACCCAAACTGTCCTTCCAATTTAGGAGGAAGAATAAGTTCTCCTTTATTCTCACATACTCGTTAGAAAAGTCTGAGAAAATCGTTTCCTTCCTATTACTCGATTCAAGAAGACTTCTATTAATACTCAACCCCAAAAATTTGAAGATAGATTCACTAATCTAGCATAATTAGAACATAAACACCCCCTTGCAATCATTCACATAAATATGACCATCATCCTCATTGTATTTCACAATTACACTAACATATTTGATAAGTTATGAAATCCAATAGTAAAAGATAGAGTTTCTCATTCATATGATAACTTTATTTTCAACGAAACAATCCAATTTTTTTTAACTAATGCCGGCACTTGTTAACAAGAATCATAAATCAAAACATAGACTTGAGTAATACTAATAATCGGTGTAATGAAAATGAAGATAGATTTTGACCCCTAACTTATATCTTAGGTAAGTACTAGGTTTGTGTTCGGTTACTCTTCCGCTTACAGTGGGGACAGAGAAAAAAACAACACAACTACCAAGTTGACTCCTTTTAATAACTACTACTATATCCAATCATGCTTACAACCCCAACAACAATGCCTTTTCATCTTCTTCCATAACCCCCTCTCTCTTTTTCCAATACAATCTGTCACCTTTTTTCGACATTTTTAGCAATTTTCCCAATTTAGCTATATTTCATTCCCGTCATCCTCGTTGTAACTCTTTTTTTTTTTCATTCCTTTTGGTCAATGGAGGAGGTTGTTTGAATTTCAACAATCTTCTACAAACCACAACAATCAACACAGCACAAACCTTTTTATACCATGTTGTGATGTTTTTTCTCTCCCTTTTTTTCTTCTGATCATGGTACGATCCAAAATGTTTCATTAGAATTTACGAAATTTTAACAAGATGTTATGATTTCACTTTTTATAAGGAATGTTTTGATTTGATGTTTCATGTCAGGCACTTTGAATTGGAAGGAATTATTAGAGATTCTTCTTTAAGGTACAAAGATTTTGTCTTCAGTTTCTAAAATTGTTTTGATAAATGTACTAATGATTGGTTATTTCAACGGTTTCATAGGTTTAAGGTTTGTGGAGAATGTCTCAGGATTCATATCAGGGTGGTCTTTGTGTTTGACAGTTACAACTAATTCTGTTGCTAGTTTGTTGAACTCAGTGATTGAATGAATGATTCTATATATAAGAATTTCGGATTGATTAAGGTTTGAGCTTTGAAGATTCCATGTCAAGGACATTTGTGAAAAACTGAAATTGGGGATTTTTTTTCCTGATTATAGTTAATTGTTGTGTTGGTTAATTGATTTCTGAGGGCCATGAAATTTCTAAGTTTGGTTGGAAATTCTTTTGGATGTTCTGCATCTGGGGAAAGGCTAGTTTCGGCAGCAAGAGATGGTGATGTTCAAGAGGCTAAGGCCTTGTTGGAATATAATCCCCGTCTTGCGAGGTATTCGACGTTCGGAGTTCGGAATTCTCCTTTGCATTACTCGGCTGCTCATGGCCACCATGAGGTATAATTCAAAATTCTATGTACTCATTTACTTGTTTCATTTTTTTCGCGCTTCCTCTGAACATATCTTGTGTTTTCCGTTGATGTAGATAGTGTATCTCTTGCTTGAATCTGGCGTTGATATAAATCTCAGGAATTATCGCGGTCAGGTAATAATACGATATTATTTTGTTGTCGAATAGTGGCTATTGCATCGTAGCATAATGCAATTTCGACAAACCAATACACGATTAGTACTAGTTTCGGCTATAACGGTATTATGATGCTGTAGAATAGCAGAATTTGAACAAACCGATATTATGTACGATCTGCGGAAGAAAACATTGATTTAATGCATACTTTTTTTACTTTCTAAAACTTTTTGTTCACTTTACGATTTATTTATTATACCGATAACAGACTGCACTGATGCAAGCTTGCCAACATGGTCATTGGGAGGTGGTTCAGACTCTGATCCTTTTTAAAGCCAATGTATGATAGTTACTGCAAACCGATTTTGTACTATTTTTTAACAAGATAAATTATCGGTGAAATGAGTTGTAAAAGATTGGTTGTTAAATTGGACTGCAGATTCATAAAACTGATTACCTAAACGGAGGTACTGCCCTCCATTTGGCTGCTTTGAATGGCCACACTCGGTGCATTCGGATCCTTCTCGCAGATTATATACCAAGCATCCCTAACTTTTGGGATGTATTACGGACGGGCGATTACAAATCAATTGAAGAATTTGATCAAAGGTACTTAGAAATCCTAATGTAAAATTGTAATCATCGATTAAAAATTGTTTCCGTAAGTTAATTTTGTTTTTGATCGGTTGCATACGAAGTGGTATTTGCGAGGTGATTAACAAAACTTCTGATGGAGGCATCACTGCTCTGCATATGGCAGCATTGAACGGACATGTTGAAAGTGTGCACTTGCTTTTGGAATTGGGAGCTTCCGTGTCCGAGGTTACCGTAGAGGATGGAACTACTATCGATTTAATCGGTAATTATTTATTATCATAGTTCATCTGATAAAGTGATGTCAAATGTTTGCTTTGGAAATTCGGCATTTATTTTCCTACTATCTGTCGATTGTTTCCATATCCGTGCGCGCTTCTTGCAGGTTCTGGGAGCACTCCACTTCATTATGCTGCATGTGGTGGAAATGCACAATGTTGTCAAGTATGTTTCGATTTTCTTTTCGAAGAAAATTTTATTGTTGCTCTAAACATTGAACTTCTATTTATTTTTTCTTGTGTATTTTTTTGTTCGGTTCGCAGCTATTGATTGCCAAGGGTGCCAGTCTCACTGCCGAGAATGCAAATGGGTACGTATCGATAAATATTTGTTAAGTTTAATGTCTAGGAGTCTGAACCTTTGCTATAAAAATTAGACGTAATCATCGTTATATCAGAACTATGAGCAAGCTTATCAGTGTAGGATTGTGTACGGTGTTTTGTTGTACTTACATGAATCAAACATAGATTTTTATTGTCTCGACTCTCGAGCAATATGTATCTTAGACGGATTTAAATTCTTTGATTTACACTCTTAATTTTTGTTTTGAAGATGGACTCCCTTAATGGTCGCTCGTTCGTGGCATAGAAACTGGCTCGAGGACACCTTAAAAACGCCTCCAGCCGAAAATTTACAAGTTCTTCCTTCACCGTACATATCTCTTCCATTTATGAGCATCGTGAAAATTGCTAGGTATGTGTTTTTCAGAACCATCCTCTTACAATTTTAATATTTGCAAGCACTTATCTTGACCAAGGTTTTAAAAAACGGCCGCAACAAAACAGTATTGGCAGATGTCGATACTGATACCGTTATTCACCGTTTTTATGTTAAATAAGAAATTATGGTTTATTTACACAGTGACGACTACAATCAATATGGTAATACCTGTGCTCGAAAGCCTTTATGCATTCCAAAGGTTACTAACATTACTCTTTCTCTTCTTGCTTCTATTGGTATCATTCCTAACAGAGAATGTGGATGGAGGACAAGCGACTTAGCACCGATATGCTTAGATCCATGTGCAGTTTGTTTGGAAAGAAAATGTATGGTCGCTGTAGAAGGTATAACACCCTTTTATAACACACTCAATCAATTATGATATAGATGCTTTTACATGAAAATTGATTTGGCTTTTTTTTATGCTAAAACTTTTGCTATGCAACAATTGCAATGTTAAGAAACTTGGTCTCATATTACCAGAAAATGCATTCAGAATTCATATTCTCAAAATTCAAAATGTTCTATTTACAATATATAGTCTTTTCATTTTCTACAAATGGTATGAATCTGTGAAATAATAAGAGCAAATAATTAAAAAGTAAAGGTGACAGCACATGTTCACACACCAAAAACAAAGGGAAAAAACATAAACCATGGTTCTCTTTTTGGTATTTGACAACTTTTGAATCAAATGTTAAGGAATAGAGCCATAGAGAAATGGATTTTGCAAGTGTTTCCATAAGGAGTTATTGCACTTGCAGTCATATCTCTTTCTCACCAGGTTTGGTGTCAAATGCATGTGATCCTTTGATAGCCCTTTTCTCTTCAAACCTATATTGCTTTACAAATTTTACACCGTTGCTTCTACTTTGTATTTTATTGTCTGACATGTGTTGTATAAATTTCAGACTTCGTTTCAAAAAATATCTAAAACAAAAAAAAAAAACAGTTTTTTGAGACATTTGTTTGTGTAGTGCATAAACTTTGTGTGTACGATAATAATGCAGGCTGTGATCATGAATTCTGCACACAATGTGCCTTGTACCTTTGCTCAACAACCTCAGCTACAACAAGCAGACATGGTCCCCCAGGTTCAATTGCCTGTCCTCTCTGTCGCCACGGCATAGTCTCATTCGTCAAGCTTCCACACACAAGACCCTTACCTAAGGAAACCCAAAGGACAACAACAAACTTGTCCTTAACATTTTGCACTTGCTCAAGTGAAGTTCTTGGCGATTCCACTGACATGACAACACCATTTTGCAAACCAACAACTTCACGTGCCTCTAAACCTTCTTCCATTTCAAGATCTTTTCGGTCCTCGAGCTGTCAGAGATTCTCTTCCTTCAGAATCAACTCTAGTCTTTGTTTGGGAGCTTCTGATGTTACTCCTTCATTGGTTCCTTGCGCAAGTGTTGGAACAAACTTGAGGAACCATTTAACAAGATGTGCTGGTGCTGGTTCTCGTTCTAGTTTTGGAAGATCTTCATCTCAAAATGAGAGAAGAAAAGCTTCTTGGTTTTGTTCTTTCAATTCTTTCAATCAATCTGTTTCTACAGCTAGTGGATGCTGATTACACACTTTTCAAATTTTCATGTTTCTTTTATTCTATCATCACATTCACACCAATGTAGTCAAAGCAATATCATAACTTATTTATACTATTATATTCATATTTCAAAAAAAAAAAACTTGTAAATAAACACCACATTGATGGAACATTCTTTTGTTTTACCTACAAATTTATACTATTCTTGTCTGAGTAAAAGTTTCTATTTTTCTTTGTTCATTACAATATACTAGTATTATTCTAGCATAAATTCAAGATAGTAGAGGAAATTCATAAAAGACTTATATATATATATATAAACTTCATCATTCAAGTTCATGTCAAACTATTACAAGATGAAAGCTCAGAAGGAATAGCTAAAAATGCAGAAAATGGGAGTGGTTGACAAGATGAGAGAAGAAATTCTACGTAAACAAACAAAATTAAAAGAAACTATCGAAAAAGAAAAAAGAAAAAAGCCTTGCAAGGTCAAGAAAAAAAAGAATGAAAAATCATAATAAAGCTCAGTGAGGATATCGCCATGAGAACACTAACTCCATTTGCAAGAGTGAAAAGCAATGAATCTTATTACACAAAACTCAGACAAAAGATGAAGATGGTTGGTGGCATTTGAGAGAGATTCTTGTTGAGCAGTTCCAACCAAAAGCATGTTGACAGTATGAAGAAAGTGTTATGATGATGGTATATTATATAGGCGAGTGAAGTTGTTAATATTAAAAAATGTTGTAGTAGTAAAAACAAAAAAGTGTGTGTGTTATGGTTAGGGGCAGGGAGAAGTCATGTTTGATTGAAAATGAGTGAAGAAAGGATAAAGTACAGAAGCAGTAAGTAGTAGTGACAAGTAATGTGACATAACAATTTGATCTGTGTGTCTGTGTGTTGTGTCCTTGTAGCGATCTTTTAACTCCTTAGTCACGTAAATACAAAAGCATGCATGGGGAGTAGGACTCGAATTTCCATGACAGTATGGGACCTGCCTCTCTGCAAAGCAATCAATTCAAAACTTCTAGTATGTCAAACATTTTCTCAACTCTTTAATCTTCATTTTTTTTCTTCATGTTTTTCTTCTAACATTGGAAAAAAAAAGTCTCATTTGATTGAGCCCCTTAGAGATGAAAATAAACTAGGATTAAACAACTTTTTGATCTCTTTAAACATTTTAATTTTTACTGTCTTTTAAGAAATTTCTTTCAAATACTAATTTTTCTAATATTTATCATCCACACTTATAATTTCTCTTGTTAATGCTTGTTAATTGATATTGATGTGGTATGTCACGTAAAACTTTTTTGATGACTAAGGATACACATGACAGTCTCAATGTGGCAAAAATACTGATGCGGCATGTCATATAACTAAGGTCAACATCATAATTCAACCCATAAAAAATTGTAGCTAATCGAAAACAAAAATTATAGCTAATATGTAGCAATTCCATCATTGTAGGAATTCTGGTTCTGAAAAAATGCAGTATGTTCTCAGCATTTTAACTTCCACGTGGCATGCCACGTTAGGTTCTGTTAATCGACGTTGATAGGAGGCATCAAAAGTGTAGATAGAAAATATTATGAGGATCACTCTTTAAAGAAAAATAGAATGATTAAAACTAAAAATGATCATATTTAAAAGACCATAAACTTATTTAATCCAATAAACTAAACTATGAAAAATCTAAATATAATCTTATCAAAAAAAAAATTCAAGATTCAAATCTCATACATGGTTTAAGGATATTGTGAGATATTGGATCAAACTCTAGAAAGGTCGAAGTCTGTTCGCGAGTAATGTGTGTTGTGGTCAAAATTTGTTATAACAAGTATTAGTCAATATTGCTAGGTTTGTTAGTATGTTGAATTGGGTCTTGCTTGTAAGCTCAATTGTTTAAGTTAACTTGTACCCTAAGTTAGCTTGTAATGGGTAACTGTTAAAAAGCAAATTAGGTTAGTGTGTTAGTTTTCTTATAAATAGCATGCTAGTCTCTCATCTTGCATAAGGAAAAATAGGAAGATAAAATCCTAATTCAAGGGAGAGAAGTTATTTGTTATTCTTGTATACTTGTAATCTTGTTTGACAGATAAAGTAAAGAATAGCAGTTTATAACCAATTTTTGTTGTTCCTTGTTGTTTTCACTTGTTTTCTTTGTTAACCCTAACCCTTGTGTGTTTCTTGTCTATAAAAAAACCGTTTATATTTTGTTTCAATACATCTTATTCACATCAAATTGGTGCGGTGAGCGTGGAGAAATGCCTTCAACAAAGTATGAAATTGAAAAGTTCACCGGAGTGAACGACTCCGGCCTGTGGCGCTTGAAGATGAAAGCCATACTGGTTCAGCATGGTTGTTTGGAAGCGTTGAAGGGAAAGGCAGCCATGGGCGCTACATTAACGGCAAAAGAAAAGACGGTCATGATTAAGAAAGCCCACAATGCAATATTGTTGAGGCTTGGTGATAAGGTTCTTCGACAAGTATCAAAGGAGACTACAACATCAGGATTATGGGTGAAACTTGAATGTTTGTACATGACCAAATCTCTGGTGAATCGACTCTACCTGAAGCAAGCTTTGTATTCATTCAAGATGAGTGAAGACAAAGTGTTGGCTGAGCAGTTGAATAAGTTTAATAAGCTGATTCTTGATCTTGAAAATATTGATGTGAAGATCGATGATGAAGATCAAGCACTATTGCTGTTGTGTGCTTTGCACAAAACACATGTTCACTTCAAAGAAACTTTCTTGTATGGAAGGGAGTCCCTGAGCTTCGAAGAAGTTCAATCAGCCTTGTATTGTAAGGACTTGAACGAGCGAAATGAGCATAAACCTTCAACAGTGGGCGAAAGTTTGGCCGTTAAAGAAAAATTCTTGTGAAAGGATGGTAAGTTCGACAAGAAGAAAGGCAAAATTCAGCAGAAGTCTTATAATGGCGAAACATCTAGTATTCGATGTTATCACATTAAGAAGGAGGATCACACAAGAAAGGTGTGCCCTGAATGCCTGAAAGATCATGAAGGTAAGAATAATGGCAACGCAAACATTGTTCAAGATGACTTTGACTCTTCTGATATTCTTTTGGTTTCAAGTGGCGACTCAAGAAAATAGTGGATTATGGATTCAGGTTGCACTTGGCACATGGCTCCAAACAGAAAATTGTTTGAGGAGCTATGTGATCAAGATGGTGAATTGATGCTGCTGGGAAACAACAAATCTTTCAAAATTGCAGGTATTGGATTTGTGAGATTCAAACTCCATGATGAGTCAATAAGGTTATTGACTGAAGTCAGGTATGTACCTGATTTGAAGAGAAATTTGATTTCTCTTGGTGAATTCGACAGGAAGGGATATGTTTTTCAAGGAGAGAAAAGTATCCTAAGAGTCATGAAGGGGTCGAAGGAAGTCTTGAGAGGCGTGAAGAAACAAGGCTTGTATACCCTTGAGGCTAAGGTTGTAAGTGGCTCGACAAATGTTGCATCCACAAAACCTGTATCGAAGACAAAATTATGGGACATGAGATTGGGCCATGTCAGTGAAAGAGGTCTGGTCGAATTGGGGAAGCAGAACCTGCTAGGAGGTGACAAAGTCAAAAAGTTGGAGTTTTGTGAATCTTGTGTATTTGGTAAATCCTGTAGGGTGAAGTTTAACAAAGGCAAGCAAAAAACAAATGGATCCCCGAATTACATTCATGCTAATCTTTGGGAGCCTGCATGGAATCCTTCACACTCAGGTGCAAGGTATTTTATATCCATCATTGATGACTATTCTAGAAAGCTATGGGTATTCATCTAGAAGACGAAGGAGGAAACTTTTGAGAATTTCAAAAGTTGGAAGGTTTTGGTCGAAACTTAAAATGGCAGAAAGGTTAAGAGGTTGAGAATTGACAATGGCCTTGAGTTCTACAACAAAGCGTTCGACAGTTACTGTGTTGAGTCTAGGATTGCAAGGCATCCGAATGTAGCAGGTACTCCTCAATAAATTGGCTTAGTTGAGATATTCAATCAAACAATCCTTGAAAGGGTTAGATGATGTTGATTAGTCTTGGATTAAAGAAGGTGTTTTGGGCGGAGGCTATTTCGACAGTAGCCTATCTGATAAATAGATGTCCCTCGACTTCCTTGGGAATGGAGACACTTGGAGAAGTTTGGTTGGGACACCCACCTAGTCTCGACAGACTGAGAGTATTTGACTGCATGGCCTATGCTCATATTAGGCAAGACATGGTCGAACCTAGAGCTCTGAAATACATGTTCATGGGATACGCTAAAGGAGTCAAAGCTTGTAGGTTATGGTTCCTAGAGCCAGGTCATATGAGGTGTATCACCAATTGAGATATATTTTTCAATGAAGCATAGATGGCTTTCAAGAAAATTGACGATGCTGACGAAGAGTTGGAACAGGGAGAGATTCATGTTAAGACTGAATTGCGTGTCCTAGATGAAGTCGAAGGAGCCACAGAAGATGTTGTTGAAGACGAGGAGACTAATAATGACTACCTGCTAGAAAGAGACAGGTCGAGAAGAGTCATCAAGCCACCTCAGAGACTTGGGTATGCAGATCTTATATCTTGTGCCTTAATCTCTGCAAGCGAGGTTCTATATGAAGAACCTAGAGACTATAAGGAAGTTATGAGGAGTCGAAAGAAGATTGAATGGTTGAAGGCCATGGATGATGAAATGAAATATCTTCATGATAACAACGCATGGGAATTGATCAAGAAACCTGCTAGAGCCAGGTTAGTAAGTTGTAAATGGATTTTCAAAGTTAAGGAAGGGACCGAAGGAGTGGCGTCGAAGAGATACAAGGCAAGATTGGTCGCTAGGGTGTTCACTCAAAGAAAAGGTTTTGACTTCAATGATGTGTTCTCTCCCGTTATAAAGCACAAATCCATTCGAATGTTGCTTGCCACAGTGACAGAATTCAACCTTAAACTAAAACAAATGGATGTGAAAACTGCGCTCTTGTATGGTGATTTAGATTAAACAATCCCAATGAGGCAACCTGAAGGGTATGTCG